CAGATCTTGATAGATTCGTACTATAATCACCCGATTGAAACAATTTCTTATGATTCATTGAAGCATTTTAGCCAAATAAGGACGACAACCTTAAATCAAAACAAAAAATTTAAGATCTTGATAGATATGTTATATAATTGGACGATTCTCAGTTTTTTACTATGATTTAGTAAAACGAGACTGTAAAATCAGAATGATTTTGATGTTATATCTCGGTATTGTTTGAAATTTTTTATTTTTCGAAAAAATTTTAGAATTTGATTGGAATATCTGACCGAAAAAATAAAAAAAAATGACATGATTATCGAAAAAATTGATAAGAAAAATGAGATCTTGGATAATTTTTGACAGAGAAAAAAACGCGTGATCCGTCGATATGATTTGGTAAAGCAAAAAAAAAAAATGTTTAAGTTGAACCCAATAGACTTATTGAGAATAACGTCCCAAGCCACATTTATAAAGTTTGTAATAATAAAAAATTAAGCTCAATTCACCATATTTTTTTAATATGTTATCCAACTCAATTCAGTAATTGTTTATAATACAATTATTAGTTCAGTAGATAATTCCGATCCAAATGTTTACATTTGCTAACAATTATAATAAATTCGACACACATTTTATCATTCTTTATTTGTTTGAGGGTACCATTCAAGTTTCAACGTAGACAATTTTCTATCATGGTCTCATATACTATGACGATCAACAAGAGCCAAGACCAATCTCTCTCACACGTCCACTTAGTCTTGAACAACCTTGTTTTCAGTCATGGACAGTTGTACGTTGCTCTTCCTAGAGTTATGAATGAGAAGCGTTTGAAGATAATGATATGTGGTGATGGTGATTCCAACGATAGGAAAATCATGAATGTTGTATACAAACAAATATGTTTAATAAAATTTAGAATCACTTTCTTAAGTCATATTTTTTTTTCGTGAATTGAATTATGGTTATGTATTTTTGTTTTTTGTTTTGTTTTTATATTATTATCTTTTTTTTACGTATTTTTCTCTGTGCAAATGGACGGGTTGATCACTAGTTGAGATAATTAGGACATGGAAGATTTTAGTAAAACTCTATGTCCCCAGAAAGAAATAATTGAAACAAGAAATTAATCAATATAATTTTTTTATGAAGTAACGCGAATTAATATTAGTTATAAATAAAACAATTTAATATACGGGATTAAAAAGTTGGAAAATGTTACGGTCTCGTTCCGAAACCATTCTGACAGGGTTTGTAACCGTTAGATTATCATGTAACCGTCGTGAATAGTTGATTTAACGGTTACAAACTCCGACGGAATGGTTCCGTAACGAGACCGTAGCATCTTCCTAAAAAGTGTTCCCATGATGTAGAGATATTAGCTAATCATTTATAAAGACCGGTCTTTATATGATTAAATCTTTTAATATGAAATAACAACATAAGTGTCAAATTGAACTCGTAAATATATTGATTAAATCAATATATTATATATTATTAAAAATAATTCCTCAACTGTTAAGTAAAATATGTTGGAAAATATTAGCAAACTATTTATTTTATATTCATTTTAATAAATTAGATGTAAGTTGCTACATTTTTCTTGAATATTTTGAAATCTTTTGGAAGTTATATAAAAATCGTTTATCTTAATATAAATATGTTTAGATGTAACACTATAAAACTATGAAAGGAGGAGAGGAGATAATATAATTTTAAATTAATTTATTATTTTATGAACTTCCCTTATCTACGTAAATTTTAGTACCACTTGAGTACACGTGTAAAAAAATGGGCCAACATTACTGACACAATCATCCTTATATCG